TCCAGTCAGTAAAAGCAAATTCTTTTTAAATTTAACAAAATGACATGATATCCTGGATGATATCAGTTTGTATGCTAACGATCTTTTAAATGATATGTGGCCGTGTAGAAAAGTCATTTGGAATGCCTATTTCATTTCGTAAAATGGAAAAAACAGTGTACGAGCCGAACTCTATGAAGGCTTGTGTGATCATTAGGAATGAGAGTAACAAGTGACACACGTCTCTATTACGAAACTTTTCGTATGAAGACAGAAAAAAATTTCAGTGCATTTTTCATGAATCGAACAAGCTGTATAATTCATCTACTCTAGCAATAAAAGCTGAATCTTTAGAATTTTTATTTTATTAAGTGCAAGGTTAACAATTTTAGGCTGAGTGTTACATTGACTTCCCTTAACATATTAGTTAGGAAGACTCCATGTGATTTTAGGGAAATAATCGCTTATTTCAGGGTTATAAAAATCAAGACAAACGTATTTAATTCAGAAATTTCTGCTGAAGGTATTTATAATGGCTGTAGATAATATCTTAAGACATAGGAAAAGAATATAAAGTAAGACAGTTACATATACTAAAGATGTTCATTAGTAGCTTGGAAAAACATGAAATAATTTTGTAATGATTACATGCATGGTAAAATTATTGTTTCATACTAATATAAAGTATATTTCATACAGAAACTATATGTTTGGGATAATATTATTCCGATCGGAATAGTTTATTCGAAAAAACTAGTTTATTCCCTACTTAAGAATATGTTAGTATATAAAATTACAAGTTAAGTAATCAAATACAAAAGTGTATTGTACGGACATTTCAATTTCCCCAGTGTACTTTACTTGTCAGCCATAAGATATTTAATTAACGCCATAATTTAACATGATTTAAATGCCCATAAATTGAAAACAAAGCATTAAGTAATGAAGAAACTGAGAAACACTTTGAAGGAAAAACAAATGTACATCATATTGAAACTGTGTCAATTAAATCTTTAAAACTTCTAACTTACCAATTTCCGGATAAACACTCTTTAAATTGTTGTTTGCTTGAGGACGCTCAAATTGATGTATTAAAACAAATTTAATTACCGGTTTTATAAGTGATATGGGAGACTGATCACGTCAACTTTTGCAACAAATATAATTATAAAAATGCATTTTTATTTCCATCACGTTCATTCTTGAAGCAGTTGTTATTAAATTCAGCAGTTGTCTGTTGTGCATCAACATTGTACTTCAGATACAATTTTATCTAAGCGGGGCGTAAACGCATGGTGTTAAACCCAAGGGTAAATACTGGAGAGATTCGGAAACTAGGGAATATAACAATCAGATTATCACTAAAGTCATAATAGGGCGAAGTGAGTTTAGCCAATACCTATCCCATAATAAGCGGGTTTCTCGTTTAACATTTTTGAAAAAATTTGTAGAGATAGGCAAATCCCCAGAATTATTCGCCACAGCATTATTTATGAATATCGGATGCTGATCTTCACTGTTCAAGTCGACTTTTTGAGCTAGAGGCTTACGGTCAAGCATTCACGCCATTTGTCGCGCGGTCGTATTACTTTCGTTCGTGCACAGTTCCTAGCTAGTTAAGCAGTCAACCTCGCACTACGATTTAGTCCCGAAGTAGACTTCATCATTTGGAAGATCGACTCGATGTTGTGTTTTGTCTTTGGTCTACGCGTAACAAATATTAAAGGAGCTGTAGGTATTAGATCTTGCCTTAGTATACATTATACTATCCGTGAACGTCACCCTCCTCAGCTTCTATATTGTCGCATCGCGATCAGTCTTGATATTCTCAGCATCTTAATGCCGACAATGAATTTCATGAAAGTAAAGACTCAAAGATATGGCAATTGCGCCAGTGCTTTGATTCTGTCTCCTGGTGGATTTCTATCAGAGTTACCATGAGGAATATTACAGTCAATGTTTAGATTATGCACTACTTTATAAACCGTTGTCAACTTGCCCCAAGTTCAGCGTTTGGTGACAGCGAGCAAATAAACTTTACAGAGTGGAGTCAGCGTAATTACGGACCTTAGGCTAGGGCCGTGTGTATAAAATCAAAATCCAGATGTAAATGCGCCTAGCTGCGTCTCGAGTATATTTGGCTTTTGTGTTCTGTTTCTTTGTTAGGAATAACCTTCAGTCTAGGACAGTTTTCACCAATTAAGCAATAGTAGGTTCTTCTTTTAATTGATATACGAATAAACACTGGCCTCCAATTTTGTATGCTGAAAGCCAGCTAGTTTTCTCGTTTTTGGATGTACCAAAGACAAAACGGGTAGTTCGAACGATACGCAGCAGCTGACACGTTGACTGTCATAGTTATTTGTAATAGTATTATTTCGCAATGACCGTATTGCAGGAAATCAACCAGTAACACAGAAAGGAATAAATTAAACAATTCATATATGGCAGAATTATTTATAACAATTGGTTCCTTTTATGAATTTAGATAAAGCAATGAGAAAACATAATTTGTCTGAATCTTGTAATGTATTTGCGCAACACATTTCGAACAATCTGATCACACATGGACTTGTCATAGGAATGAATATATATGAAATTAATAAAGATTTAAGAGGTGAGAAAATAGACTACTTAAGTCAAGTTAAAAGGACATATTAAATGTCAAAATATCAATGAAGACCACTAAACCCAATAACAGATGTAATAGTACATCTGCTACGGTATCAAAACAAAGTTTGCCAAGGAAGGTTTAGCGTGATGATGAATTGTTTTCAAACGCATAAATGTGGTTTAAACTTCCTAATTGCTAGGGCTTCCACAAGCTTTAGGATACGCCCTCTCTCAAACACATTTTATAGATAGGTTTAAAAGATGTGTTAACGAGTTGATCACGGATTGATATCAGTTAGAGAACCCTTGAAAACCAGGGAGTACTGGACAGCCGTTTAATTGGCAGTACGCACCCACTGGGATTCGAACCCAGGACCTTCCGTTTACAAAGCAAGCTTGTATACAATTCAGCCTCTTCCCTTAACCCTCTTGGTTTGTCTTTTTTGCTTTGCTTATTACTTCAATTACTATTATTATTATTCGTCATAATTTATACCCTTCATTCAAACATTCTCTCAATACTATCGAATTTCTCATTTATACTATCTGGACTTATTATAAGTGATATTATCTCTTCTCTCAATATATGCCTCCACCTGTTTCATTTCATATATTGAACATTTCATGATGAACCACTCAACTGACACCTTTTATAACCTTGAATTGACTTTTCACTTCTCCTTCTCCACGCTGTATGAAGCAGCTATTATGACTAATACCATTCAGCCACTGGGACCCGATTCAGCGGCTCATGAATTCTAACTTCTACCAATTCGTGATTTAGCGCGACCCCAACCATTGTCGTTGGTGGGACATCCATCCTCACACGTGACCTCTAAATGGACCCCACTGGTCACGACTTCTCACTAGAACTCCAGGAAACTCCATCCTGTAGCAAGTCACTAGCAAGCATCAGATTTATTTTCTATAGTTTGGTTTGTAAGGGTTATCAATCCGTGATTTACTCGTAAGGAAGGAAATAAGGGCGGTGTCTGTACCAAAGTCATATTCTGGATCATGTCAAAAGAATAGGCAGAGTCAGACGGAACAAAAGCTGAAAGACTCTGAATACTTTTGCGATGTCTTTTCATCTAATCGTACCAATCAGGAGTGTAGCGAGGTCACTGTTGTAGCCACTAAAATGTCCACAATTGTGGTAGAGGATACAGTGGTTGTCAAACTACTTTCTAAACTGAAGCCAGGTAAATCACCTGGACCTGACGAACTTCACCCTGGACTGTTAATCTCCCTGGCGGATATAATATACATTCCACTTACGGAGATTTCTCAGATGTCTCTGAGGATAGAAAGCAGAAGGTAAGAGTTAATAGTGCACTGTCAGGGTGGAAGGCAGTACTAAGTGGAGTACCTCAGGGAACTGTACTTGGCTTCATGCTATTCTTATTATACGTAAATGAAGTGCCAAAAATTCTTACCTCATGTTCCCTACTAGTTGCGGACGATACCAAGATATGGAAAACCGTAAATAGTAACGATGATAGGTTGGTACTACAAAATGATCTAGATAAATTAGCCGAATGCGCTAACTTTTGGAGTCTGGGAATCGATTCCAAGTTCAAGCGCGGTAATGCATCTAGGTCAGAGGTCTTACACGTTGTACCTCCTGGGGGACACAGAACCTCCAGATGTTAGGGGATGAAAGGACTTAGGAATTATCGTAAGCTATAACTTAAAAACAACGACAATTTGTAATGGAGCCGCTGCAAAGGCTTTTCAAATGCTATGGGCACTTCGAAGTGCCTTCAAACGAATAGACGAGGGTATGTTCCAAGTACTTTGAGCGACGTATGTCAGACTGCATCTTGAATAATGCACACGGGCAGCGAGTCCATGCTTCGAAAAGGAGGCACATATACGGAGTGTAGGAACCAAATTAGTTAGTGGTATCTCACACCTGTCTTATGATAAGAGGATGGAGAACTTAAATCTCTTCCCATTATCATGCTGAAGGAAGAGAGACGACTTAATTTTGGCATACTGTATATTAAATAGTGATTGAGTGACTTACCTTTCAAGCCTTTTATCTCCCTCTAGGACACATTTATGAAGTCACCACCAGATGGTGGTCAAACAGAGGTCAAATAAAATATGTGTGGAATTTAGATTCTCTCACAGAGTGGTCAACGACTGGAACTCCTTACCTGATTCAGTAGTAACAGCTTTATCGGTGAATGCATTCAAAGAGAAACTGGATCTCTGCAGAGATATATATTGCGAGGATTAATATAGGAAATGAGTCTTCTATCCTTATCATCTGCTTCTGAATCAGAACTATTTATGTCAGAGACAAGGCTGGTGAATCGTTATACTCGCCTTATCGAAATCCATCAAATGTGTTCGCCGAGGAAGCAATAGTTTTACACTCGCTTTTCACAAATAATACATCGTTGACATTGAACTTTGTACGGATAAGGTACAGGTTTGGACACTACGCTACAAGTGGGTTTTGTAACACTTGAGTGTTACAGTTTGTGTGGTGTTAAGGCGATTTTACAAATATTCGCATTTTCACTTCATAGCATGTATCTGGTCCCTTTTTATATGTGATTTAATTTGATCCGTTCTTGAAATTAGACTGTTAATTTATTTTTAAACTTAACATAATAACTGTAGGTTAACACCGCTGAATTAATGAGTTTCTTGTATTGTGAAACTTTTAAAAATTAGGTCAAAATGTCAATACTGATGGAATTCACCGCTCTTAATCTGTTTTATCGTATAAAATTTATCCATATCCATGTAAACTTGTATGCTAGAAAAGTATTCGTTATCAACACTATGCATATATGAATAAATGCATTCATTCATATCTTTTTTTACAATCCACTCTCAGAATATGAGAAACTCTTCACACATTATACAGATTTGTTGTGTTGTTAGCATAATGGCATTGAAATTATTTACATGTACTAGCAACTGCCTTTCTCTCAGACAGTTGTAGAAAAGATAAATATTCAACTCAATCTTGAAGTTTTTGGTAGCTAGCCATGCAGAACTTTGTGTTGACAAACACCTGCATGTTTTTATGCTATTGAAATCATTCTGTTCTAGACCTCACGGCGTTTTATGTCACTGTTCAACTTTTTACAACGTTTTATATATATATATATATAGTTTTTCCACACATTATAAAATACAATGAAACAAAACTGAGTAACTAGAGTAGTAGTTGGCCAACACTATAGTGGCAATAAACCTTCAATACCCGAACTCAGCCAGTGAAATTCTGTTTTTTCATTCCCCTGACAGTTCAGTCAGTATATTTAGCTAAATGTCAAGTACATGCCAACATAGCTGCCGTGGGAATGTGTGTCTGTCAACTGGTTAATGTCGTGCTGCCTATCTAAGGGGAATATTATCTTACTTATATTCACTCGGTGGTGTGGTTCAAACCTGAAAGCTATTAACATTACCAGATTCAGGCTTGGGGTTGTAATCATCTGAATTGACAATCTTGCATCGATGTGAGAAATTCGATCCAGTGGCGGGATAGTGGTTTTAAAACTTAAGTCAGTTCACTTTTTATTTGACTGACTGTATATGAACTTCAATATCTTCAGAACAAATATATTTATCGGGAAACCTAGTTGAGTAAACAAAGAATATTCTTTTCGATAATTTCTCCTTCAGATTCTGCAGTTTGACAAAAAGGGGAGCTATTACTGTTACTAAGAGCATTAATGTCTTAAATAGCATTAAATCACTACCTTCTTATTGTATCTATCAATTCAGCTGCTCCTGTAGAGTCAGTTATATTGGCCGTTGCTCTAAAAACTTTGAGTTCTCGAGAACACTTACCAGTATGGTTAAATAAAGGCGTAGTTAGAACCATCACCATCTAAGACTCTTCAATCACTTACCAAATGCTGAGTAAATTATTGAAGGCCTCCAAATATCCAACATCAAAAAGCAGAGGCAATTGAAATCCGCTTAAAACACCTGGAGCTGTGTGTGTGTGTGTGGCGCGCGCGAAAGAAACAGGTCCAGTTTCTACCGGTACCTTGTCCTGCTATGGAATATACAGCTTCATAAATTGTGTATTATTCTTCTTAATTTATCTAATATTCTTGTTGATTCAACGTTATTTAAAACATTAGTGCTATCAGTGACAATAATTCTTTAAATATTTTGGACATGTAGCTGTAAGAATCTAATGAAGAAGTTATCGAAAAGAATATCCTTTATTCACCAAATTCATTCTTTTGACATCTGAAGTGGCATTTTTGATCAATGAAATATATATCTCATGCTTGCTGTATTATTATTGGTTGGACAAAGGGGAATATTCAGTGGGAAATGAGTTTATATCCACCAATCAGCTGTATCTTTTGTAAAATAGAACGCACCCACCTGTAAAGTCTTCATATGTATAATCGAGACTTTCTGGGTACTATTTTAGAAAGCCTGTATATTCAATTAGGATAATAAGGGAACTTTATTTCAGTATGCTTTTTAGTATTCCTCATGTAAATGAAAGCTTTTTAAAACTAACTACAGATTTCTACTACATTCATTTTTAATAATCTTTTCCTTATGCATTTTTTTCCTTACAGAACATCTGTCCATTCCACCATATTCATAGTCAAGTCAATATTTATTTATATTTGTAATGTATGGTGCCTTGCAAAGGTATGTTCCTGAGTATTATTATTATTATTGTAACTTGTATAATATATGCAAAAAGTAGCTCATAATATACATTAACTTAAAGCCTTTTAGAAAAGATCTATAAATCTATCACTTAATGTCAATCAAAGTTAACGTCTTATTGTTAGTGGTTGACTAAGCACAGGAAATAAATCAAGTTTGGTTATCTAATCACTAGGCTCATTGGCTTTAGCATTTAACTAAATCTTTGAATTTAGGTGTCTTGTTCATTAGACTCCGTCAGGAAAAGGTATTCATAGCATGACCGAGACTAATGACTATTTGGATATCCAACTTGTAACTATTCAGTGCTTTCATTAAAGGTGTTACTGGCAATTTACTGAAATCTGAAGTTTCTCAAATATTTGGTTTTACTGAGGCGAAATGTTCTCCACCGATACCTACTACCTTGACGTAGATGTGACATCCGACTATCGAACAAAGGGCGTGTGTACTGCTCAACAGTCCGCTCCGTCCTCCTTTATGGCTGTGAGACATGGCCATTGAGAGCACAAGACATGAAAAGACTATCTGTGTTCGATCATAGGTGTCTGCGTTCTATCTCCCGCGTGAAGTGGTATAATAAGGTGAGCAATATTGAGGTTAGGCGTCGAGTGCTAGGTAAGGAGGGGAAATCAATCGACGAGGCTCTGAAGCTACATCAACTGAGATGGTTAGGACATGTGTTACGTATACCTAGTCATCGCTTTCCTCAACGGGCAATGTTAGCTGATATAGGGCCAGGCTGGAAAAGAGCTAGCGGCGGTCAAATGAAAACATGGCACCAGTCAATGAAATCCACAACAGTTAGTCTGGCCTCCAAAGCCTCAGGATGGTCGGGAGTGGCTGCCTTGCGCTGCGGGTTGGCAACCCCTCCGCACACCTCTTGAAATGCTCCCATATGACCGGGCGTCTCACATAGCCTCTCCTGGGGAAGTCCTACTCACTGCCTTCACGTGGCGGAGGTGTTTTTCACCAAGGTGAGAGGGCGAAAGTGGATGCCCGGCGCTCTTCACCGGGTTGACTGTCCATTGGATGACAGTCTAGGGGAGATGGCTAAACCCTGACTCCAAACCTCCAACGACTGGCATATGCAGCTCACTGGATCTCACCGGCAGACGTATGGACAAAGGGCTTGGTGGATGTCCTGCATGTCTGGCCCCATTCAAAAAGGCGTATGAACCGAACTCCGGTTACCGGCTGCCAATGGATAGTGGACTCCCTACTCCACTCCTACTGCCTTGTAGGTCACACTTGGTTGTGTAAAGGCTAGAGCTGCACTCTCAAATAAAAGGCCGAGCGATTCTGGGGACATCACTCTTACCAGATTCCCATGAAACTTCATGAACTCTCTTCATCAGATCGCCGCGCCTGGGCAGCGATGATTCGAGATGTTCATGAAGCCGGCTCATCCTCCCGTAGGAGATAGCCGAAGTAAAGTAAGTAAGTAAGTACTACCTTGACATAGTGGTCGGACTTGCATATCACTATGATCCAATGTGCCACATTGGTTGAAAAGATTAGTGCTGTAGGTCGTATCATGCTAGATAGCAGTTCAACTATTACTATAGTGAAGTCGTTCACAGTATGTTGGGTGTCTGAGAGCTGACTGACTGACTGACTAACTAACTGAGTTTTCAGCATAGAACTTTGCACAGGAGTGCAGCAATTTAAGTTGCCATACTCCCTCCATATAGCACGGTCAGTCGGTCGGTCTTCGACAAAGAACTTTGCACATATGTGCGGCAGTTCAAGTCGCCACACTCCATGTAGCACACAAAGCAAGAGAAGAAAGTAGAAGAAATGCATAATATAGTCAGTAAACAGAGGTGTGAGACAAAGGAATAGTAATAACGGAGAACAAAACAGTTTCATTGGAAATCATAAGTCACAAGTCCATATAGCACACAAAGTTATTATTATTATTATTGTATCCTTTAATTCGTAGAGGAGCGTAGGGCTTCAGCCGTGCGTCTCCATTGCCTTCGGTTCTCTGCTAGAGTCTTCACCTGGCTCCATGTCTGCCCACACGTTTTCATCTCCTCTTCACATGGCCTCCTCCAAGTCACCCCTGCAATGACGACCAACTCGCCGCTTCCCTTTCGGGTTCCACTCGAGCGATGGCTTGTCTAGTGATGTCACTTGATGGTTTCCTCAGAGTATGGCCAATCCATCTCCACTTCCTTCTGCATATTTGTTTCACAATCGGTTCCTGGTTGGTTCGCTCCCAGAGGTCCCTGTTGCTGATCTTTTCTGGCCAGCCATCTGATCTTGAGTATTGAGCGAAGACAACTGTTAATGAAGGTGTGTAGTTTGTTTGAGATGCTCTTTATGACGCGCGGTGCAAGTTTCTGATCCGTATAGTAAGTAGCACTGACTTCACATTGGAGTTGAAAATCCGGATCTTATCTTCGTTTTGATGCTGAGTGTTGTTGACCTCCACACAGACTTGAGAGTAGTGAAAGCTTCTCTTTCTTTTCCGATTCTTGCTTTGATATCCTCATCAGTTCCGCCTGTAGTTGAAACGATGCTTCCCAGGTAGGTAGGTGAAAGAGGTAGTTTCTTTCAGGTTCCTCCCATTTATGCTGATTGTTGTCTGTTGTTGTTGTTGCTGTTGGTGTTACCCAGGAATATTCATCACCTCTGTCTTCTCTATGTTCACCTGACGTCCTATCTTCGCTGCTTCTTCTGCCAACTTGTTGCTTTTCGCTTGCATATCTTCCAGTTTGTGGGAAATCAGACACATATCATCGGCGAAGTCCAGATCCTCCAAGTTTTTTGTGTGAGTCCATTTTATGCCTGTTTCCTCATTGCCCGGTGTCTGTCGCATTATCCAGTCTACTGCAATCAGGAAAATCATTGGCGATAGTAGGCAGCCAGCTTGTCTTACTCCTGTCCTCACTTCGAAGGGTTCCGTAAGTTTCCCGTTGTGGATTACTTGGCATGCAGCATTGTCGTACAGCTGTTGGATGAGATGTATTATTGTCGGCGGCACCCCGTAGTAGTGAAGCAGTAGGTGTAAAATGCCTGTCTGAGGTCCTCAAGACACTAATAGCTAATGTCTTGAAACTGTTGGTGACATGGCTCAAAATCGTTCACAATGGTACACGCGCATTGTTCATATCCCTATTTTTTCTCTCTATCCTGTACACTTCCGTTCATTATAGTTCCCTTGATTCTATTTCCCACACATTTGTGTACTATAAACAGTATGTCAGGTCGGTCGGTCGGTTTTCGACATAGAACTTTGCACATATGTGCGGCGGTTCAAGTCGCCACACTCCTTCCATGTAGCACACAAAGCAAGAGAAGAAAGTAGAAGAAATGCATAATATAGTCAGTAAACAGAGGTGTGAGACAAAGGAATAGTAATAACGGAGAACAAAACAGTTTCATTGGAAATCATAAGTCACAAGTCCATATAGCACACAAAGTTATTATTATTATTATTGTATCCTTTAATTCGTAGAGGAGCGTAGGGCTTCAGCCGTGCGTCTCCATTGCCTTCGGTTCTCTGCTAGAGTCTTCACCTGGCTCCATGTCTGCCCACACGTTTTCATCTCCTCTTCACATGGCCTCCTCCAAGTCACCCCTGCAATGACGACCAACTCGCCGCTTCCCTTTCGGGTTCCACTCGAGCGATGGCTTGTCTAGTGATGTCACTTGATGGTTTCCTCAGAGTATGGCCAATCCATCTCCACTTCCTTCTGCATATTTGTTTCACAATCGGTTCCTGGTTGGTTCGCTCCCAGAGGTCCCTGTTGCTGATCTTTTCTGGCCAGCCATCTGATCTTGAGTATTGAGCGAAGACAACTGTTAATGAAGGTGTGTAGTTTGTTTGAGATGCTCTTTATGACGCGCGGTGCAAGTTTCTGATCCGTATAGTAAGTAGCACTGACTTCACATTGGAGTTGAAAATCCGGATCTTATCTTCGTTTTGATGCTGAGTGTTGTTGACCTCCACACAGACTTGAGAGTAGTGAAAGCTTCTCTTTCTTTTCCGATTCTTGCTTTGATATCCTCATCAGTTCCGCCTGTAGTTGAAACGATGCTTCCCAGGTAGGTAGGTGAAAGAGGTAGTTTCTTTCAGGTTCCTCCCATTTATGCTGATTGTTGTCTGTTGTTGTTGTTGCTGTTGGTGTTACCCAGGAATATTCATCACCTCTGTCTTCTCTATGTTCACCTGACGTCCTATCTTCGCTGCTTCTTCTGCCAACTTGTTGCTTTTCGCTTGCATATCTTCCAGTTTGTGGGAAATCAGACACATATCATCGGCGAAGTCCAGATCCTCCAAGTTTTTTGTGTGAGTCCATTTTATGCCTGTTTCCTCATTGCCCGGTGTCTGTCGCATTATCCAGTCTACTGCAATCAGGAAAATCATTGGCGATAGTAGGCAGCCAGCTTGTCTTACTCCTGTCCTCACTTCGAAGGGTTCCGTAAGTTTCCCGTTGTGGATTACTTGGCATGCAGCATTGTCGTACAGCTGTTGGATGAGATGTATTATTGTCGGCGGCACCCCGTAGTAGTGAAGCAGTAGGTGTAAAATGCCTGTCTGAGGTCCTCAAGACACTAATAGCTAATGTCTTGAAACTGTTGGTGACATGGCTCAAAATCGTTCACAATGGTACACGCGCATTGTTCATATCCCTATTTTTTCTCTCTATCCTGTACACTTCCGTTCATTATAGTTCCCTTGATTCTATTTCCCACACATTTGTGTACTATAAACAGTATGTCAGGTCGGTCGGTCGGTTTTCGACATAGAACTTTGCACATATGTGCGGCGGTTCAAGTCGCCACACTCCTTCCATGTAGCACACAAAGCAAGAGAAGAAAGTAGAAGAAATGCATAATATAGTCAGTAAACAGAGGTGTGAGACAAAGGAATAGTAATAACGGAGAACAAAACAGTTTCATTGGAAATCATAAGTCACAAGTCCATATAGCACACAAAGTTATTATTATTATTATTGTATCCTTTA